CTCACTATCGTTCCTTCATGATACACTGCGAGTGCTTGCGAGTGCAAGAAACGAGCAAGAACGGGTTAAAAACGGGCTAAAAACGGTCCATATGAAGTCTAAAAACGGTGAAAAATTTTTATAAGGGGGGATTCGTACGCTGCCCAAAGGATGGAAGAAAGTAGTGGCCAGCGATGGGCAATACTTTGAATCATAAATGTATAACCAGTTTTTTACAATAAAGCCAAAAAGAAACAGCGGGAGCAAAATTGTACACCTAATATTATATGGGAATAGATATATGCTAATGTTAATTGCGGTTACTCACAATTGCCCTTATTTCACACGATAATTAACTTTAGTACATATTATGATGCATAAATTTTACTTTTTTCTATAGAATACTGTAAAATTAAGAGGGAAATACATTTAGAACCCTCAAAGAATGTAAAACTTTTTTATTTCATAAAATGAAAGTACCATATCTTATAAATATGTACCCGTAATATGTAAATTTTAGAGCAAAATTCCAAGTATTTTGGAAGTTAGAGCCTGTGACTCATCTTCGCTTTGCGCCGCATGAACGCGCTGCAGGTATATTCGGACGCTCGGAGTAGGGAGACCTGATATTTGTAATCCCCTCTTTTTAAATCTTTAAACTGTTGTTTCTGTTGTTTCGGCAAAATGAGTTTTATGAAGAAGCAGAAAGACTATTGTATGTGCCTGGAATTGCTGACTAGCCGATAAGTTGATGAAAACATTATCTTTCTACTACTCGAAACTTTAAACTCATTTTTCTCAAAACTCTTTTTTCAAAATTGGCGGGAAATCTCATTCAAAAACTATTGCACCAATCACTTTGAAATTTGGCACACATTTCAATAATACTTATAATTCGTAGTTAAGGGGGTCGCCTCATATAAACCGCTAAAAAGGTCATTTTTAGGAATTTTTTTTTAAGGTATGCAATGGATCGTTTTAAAATTTTTTGATGTTTTACTACATACAGGGTCATCGAAAAGTATCAGACCCCCCCTAATATCTTCAGTTAGAATGCATTTTGGAGAAAATGTCCAATAGCAAAGTTGTACGGTTTCAAGCGAGGAGTAAGATAATGACCTTGATTTTGATCTTGACCATGTCCTTTAAGGTCCATTTCAAGGTCAACCTTATTTTTTTAAATGGAACCCCCTACATTTTATTGCATATTTTTATAGCTTATCTCGAGAGCTTTCCAAAACACTACAATAAAACATTTTTTCATTAAGTACTTTTTGAGTTATAAAGGTTTGAAGTTAACAATTTTTTGACACAAAATGTAAAATATCTTGTAAAATATTATTTAGTTTTCAGTAATCATAACCTTAATACTTTTGTGCGCGGAATAATGAGACCAATTAATTGGTTTAAAGAAAATACATTAATCAAAAAGTGTCGGATCCCCCTAATATTTTCAGTAAGAATGCATTTTGGAAAAATGTCCAATAGCAAAGTTGTATGGCTTCAAGCGGTTATGCTAGTAGGCTACGGCGGAAAACTGCCCGAAAGTGATCGCGAGAAGTTGCTCGAATGCGTGATGTCCGAAGGCGTTAGCGGGAATCTGCCCGAAAGCGTTGGCGGGGCAGATCTTTATTCTCTCACTCTCGCAGGTATCAATGTACGAGCTCTTGAGCAAACAATACGGATCACTGATTTTAATCTTTGATGCAGTGCTGTCTTCTTCTAAGCGAGCAGCAGTTACTTCGTGGACGAAAACAAACAGCCCCAAAAATTTTTTCTGTAACAAAAGAAGCCATTGCGCTTCAATTGATTTTCTCAAACATCTTCACTAATTGTTTCCAATAGCCCAGAAATTTTTCGCAAATATTATTAATTGATCTATTAGATTTTCAGTTTCTCAACGAGCTTTTTGCTAGTACTGGTTGAAATAAACAAATCAATAGTTAGACCAACACTTAATAATTAGTTTTTTTCTCTACTTGATTATTTAGATCAATTTCCTATCACTTATCTGATTAATTCTTCTTTGCTATAATTAAGAATGGCGGAGCTTTCTGAAAAAGATCAAATAACACTGTTAATGATGCGAGGATGGGGAGATCAACAAAGAGGGTATAAAACAGTAACGCGATTATTTAATGAAAATTTTCGGAATGAAAATAATAGGATCTCTAAAAGTACTGTAATCCGTACTATTCAACGTTTCGAGGACATTGGTAGCGTTAAAAGTCGCTGAAGATCTGGTAGACGTAAAACAGCAACAAATAATGATAAGGCATTAGATGTTTTACAGTCTTTCGTTGAAAATCCCCATATTTCCATCAATCGCATTGCATAAGAACACGAAATCGGTCATGCATCTGTCAGTAAAATTTTGAAATTGAATAAATGGCATCCACACAAACTCCATTTGTGCCAAGAGTTGTCCGAAGACGATTTTGATAGACGCATCGAATTTTGTGATCTTATGATGGAGATGATTGTCGACAATCCTCTATTACTTAATAACATTGTTATCTCTGATGAGACAACATTTGAACTGACTGGAAATGTAAATAGACACAATTGCAGGTACTGGAGTGACATTAATCCTCACTGGAAAAGAGACAATCATACCCAATATCCATAAAAAGTTAACGTATGGGCTGGTATTCTTGGGCGGCACCCAGTTGGACACGGCTCAATTGTACACGAGCCACTCACAGCGCTTGAGACTACAAAACTCCTAAGCACCGATCGCTGTGATTGGTGGTGTCTAATCGAGACGTGGTCAATCGGGATCACCCCGTATTCTTGATGGTAGACCAGTTGGCCCTTTCTTCATTGAAGGCAATTTGACAGCACAGGTATACACAGTCACGCTTCGCGAACAAATTGTTCCAGCTATTCGAGACATAGCTGGTGGAAATATGGATGAAATTTATTTCCAACAGGATGGAGCTCCACCTCATTATGGTGTCATTGTCCGTCAATATTTGAATGAGGACTTTTAGGACAGGTGGATAGGGCGAAAGGGTCATATTGAGTGGCCACTTCGGTCTCCGGACTTGACTCCACTTGACTTTTTTTTGTGAAGTTACTTGAAAAGTAAAGTGTATGCCACCAAGCCTCAAAATTTAGATGATTTAAGAGGGAGAATAACTCGAGAGATAGAACTAATACCGCCGGAAACGTATCGGAAAGCGGTTTCAACTGTTTATAACAGATTGGCACATTACCAGGCTGTTGAAGGGCAACAATTTGAACATTTGTTGTGAATTGTTTGATACAATTGAATATTTTGCCCAAGCTGACCAATTGGAATGAAATTCGCCTTAACTGGCCGGACCCACACGCCACTCTTGCTTTAACTGGCCGGACCCACACGCCACTCTTGCCTTAACTGGCCGGAATCACATGCCACTTAACAAATTGTTAATTTCAAACCTTTATAACTCAAAAAATACTTAATATGCCTTAAATGGCTGGAATCACACGCCACTTAAAAAATTGTTAATTTCGAACCTTTATAACTCAAAAAATACTTAATGAAAAAATGTTTTATTGTAGTGTTTTGGAAAGCTCTCGAGATAAGCTATAAAAATATGCAATAAAATGTAGGGGGTTCCAATTAAAAAAATAAGGTTGATCTTGAAATAACCTTAAAGGACATGGTCAAGATCAAAGTCAAGGTCATCATCTTACTCCTCGCTTGAAACCATACAACTTTGCTATTGGACATTTTCTCTAAAATGCATTCTAACTGAAGATATTAGGGGGGGTCCGATACTTTTCGATGACCCTGTATATTAAAGAGTACAACAAAAATTTTTTTATTTCAATATAGTGTTCATTTTATAATTTTTCTAAATAAATGTTGACGCAATCTCGTCGCCGGAATTGTAAATCGGCGGGAAATCTAACGCCTTTTGTATTTGTCTAAAACAAAAAAACAACATGGTTTCTTATTTTGTATGACAATACCTTGTCGATGAACTTAAAAAATAAGTTAAAAGTTGAAAATTAATAAAATGGCGGCACTTTAAAGACATAAGTACGATTTTTACTCCAAAAATTTCAATTTATTTATGCAATAACAATTGTTTTAATTAGTTATTTTACTAAATTTATAGGTTCATCGACAATTTATGACATTAAATAATATGTGTACACAGGGACAACTCGATCGATTGAATAGTTTTTGAGTTATCTTTCTCGCCAGTTTCAAAAAACTAATTTCGAAAAAAACGCTTTTAAAGTTTTTAGTATCTGTGTAGTAGTTAGTATCTGTGCATCATAAACGAGCTGTAGCTTCCCAATTTATTCGAATTTCGTTCTGTAACTTTGGAAATATATTTTCTACATTTATTACTATCGATTAAAGCAAAAAAAATTTTTTCGATTTTTTGAACCGGTTACATGAGGCGACTCCATTAAACCTAAAAGTATCACAAAATAATTGTTTTAAAGTACTTTTTCAGAGCAAAATAGAGCAAAAATTTTGCTAAAATTTCCATTCTTTATTTCACAAGCGTGTAATTTCTTCGATTTTCAAATTTTTTCACTTTTTTTAGATTTAACGAGAAATTATGAATGTTAGTAACAATACCTCATTTGCGTTTTTGTTTCAGACCACCACAAAAAATTGAAGAAATCCCGCTATTTGACAATTAGCTTGGCGACCTTCGGCACAGACTGTATTGTAACTCCGCCATTTTTTAATTTTTTCAAAAAAAATACCTTGTTAATATAGAAAGTAACAATAAACTATATCTTAAGTTTCAAAATAATCGGATGATTCTTTCTTTAAAAAAAAATTCACGAAGATTGCCTCGTTTTCACTCGCCTAAATGTATTTCCCCCCTTAAATTATATTTATTGATATCATACCTTCATAGTACAAGGGTAATATTCCACGGTATAAATGCGCTTGTCGAGCAACTTGATGAAATCTGGTAACTGCAATAATAGGACAACGAGGTCTATATTTCGCAATTAGATGTGCGGATCGACCAGATGTTGTAATAACAATGATAGCACTAGCCAAACATTTGACGGATGCTTCTACAGAGGCAATGGCAACTGCATGCGTGGCATCTATAGGCGGCAGAGCTTTGCTCGACAGATCATGAAAGATTTGAGTTTGCCAAATCGCAGCTTCTGCTTCCTTACAAATATTAGCCATTGTACGAACACATTCCAAAGGATAATCTCCTTTTGCTGTTTCACCTAAAAGTGCAAAAAAACAAGGCTTATAATTGCATATCAGATAATAAATAGTACATTAATATCTGGAAACATTGGATGCATTCAGTACTATAACCGCTCACTGAGCGCTCAGTAAGCTCTCGTATCTGTTTGGTCTATATTTTTAGATCTAACGGAATATGCCAATCGGATGCAAGAGTTCATTGAGCGCTTAGTGAGCGGTTGTACTACTGAATGCACCCACTGGTAATGTCTCAGCGCTAAGCAAAAGCGCAGACACACTGTCGTGCCTACTTTTTTACGCGAACCGGAGACATGCGTCAGAGATTATCGGATCTCAATAACGGGTGTCTCGATTGAATTAAAGTATACCTTAATCGATAGATTACACTCCGATTGTATTATACGTGTTTTTATTTTTTCTTTACGTATCCTACAAGCGAAGATATTGCGACGCAAATTTCCGAACTGTCACTTTTCATTCAGATTCAGATTAGATACGTTGTCATCAACCAAAAAAATGTACGACTGCACCGTCTGGCACTAGATGGCGGTAGAGGCGTTTAGATGCCTGCACATTCCAGTTGACGTTTGGTTTGAATAGAGTCCTAGAAACCAGAGATGAGACATTGAAGGGTATAGTTTGATTAGCTGTCTAAATCACGTGATCAGACCGCCATTTTTAATTCATTACTGCTATAATTAGAGTCCTAGGACTCTACGTATAGAGTCTAATAATGGACGTATAATGTATGTACTATTAAGTACATGCTATAATAAGTACGTATTATACTTTCTCTTTTTCTAACAATTTAATTTTTCTCATATAATGCATCAGCTGTCATCAGCTTATAAAGGTGCTTTTTCATGCCGACGCTCGACGCTCATTTTCGGCATCAAAATAAGTCACGTGATAAAAATTGGCGAATATCAAGCGTCAATTTTGATATTGGGTGCTTTCATCGACATCTAGAATGGACCGCTGATGGCAATGGTAGGGGTAGAAAGACGATTAGAGTGAGAGGCAGGAATAATAAGATCGTTCTTTCTCTGTTTACTGAAG